TCTCTCTCTCTCTCTCTCTCTATTTTGTTTTTTCTTCTCTCCTATGACTAGCTATACTAGACAATTGATTAAACCTCAATTTATTGTTTCTTTTGTTATATTTTGAATTAAAAGATGACGGACAGTGCTAGATGGCCCGGCTCAATGACCGGGCCATCATACAGGTGCCGACGTGGCACCATACAATTGGAGGGGGGGCTGACCGACCTCAGCCCCCCCTCCAATCACAGGGCGCCACCTCGGCGCCCTGTCAAATGCCCCGGTCATTGAGCCGAGGCATTCAGTTTAATCCAAAGATGACACTTTCTATTTCTTGACTTTGGACCAAACCTGGCTGGCCCTTTCCTAACCAAATCTAGGTAAAAAATTTATAATAAGTGAATTATTGTCTTTTTCTTTCATTACACTTAAGCCTATCAAGAGGTTTTTATTTTAGTGGAAGTACTCGTATCGGACACGAACGACAAGAATAAGATTATGAGATCTTCCTCCGATCCTCTAGAGTAAAAGAAAATCATTTATATTGTTTTTTGTCTATTATAGGATTTATTTAAAATTATTTCTAATTTGTATTTCACATTTTCTAGATTTGAAATGAAATTCAAATGAGGTATCATAATTTCCAATTTTAATTTGTAATCAGTACATATATTTTTTAAATTAATTTGAGTTTTATAAAACATATCCACGTACTTGTGTCTAAATTTTAGATCTTTTTTTATCTGTATTCTCATACTATATTTTAGGGAAAAAATGACCGGACCCCTAAATAAGTACTAGTATCGAATAAACAAACTTGAGTCCGAGAACATAGGGCTTATATGCGTGCGTGTGTGCGCTCTCTTAGAAGAGTTAAACGTTTCTGAATGGAGAATTTGACACGGATGGTTCCTAATCTTTGTCTTCAATGTGCAAATAGTCCCAATATTTATTTCTTAGCGTGAATGTCGATAACCTATAATTTTTTGTGTAAATGGTCATTTTTTTTTCAAAAAATAATTGTAAGATACTTGATTAATTTTATAATACATTTATTAATCAACAAAAAAACATGATGTCTCGATGTGTACGTTGTCCCAACCACCAATCCAGTATTCCCGTTCTATTCGGGGACAAAGGCATGCTACCAGTTTCTATTTCTGTAGATTGAAGGGAAAATGGCATTTAAGAGAACATTTTTATTGGTGATTTATAGTTTAGATTCATCGAAAATCTAACACGTAAATTAAAATAGTCGCGATCGATAAGCTTAAACATTCTAAAACGAAACAAAGTTATTCATTTAAAATTGTCTTTGTATTTGAATATAAATTGACTCGACCTTTTTTAAAAAAAATAAAGGTGATTCTTCACAAGGGTTGTCCCATAACCTCAATACAAATGTATGGATCAATATAAATGCAAAAAGGGACCCAAAATACTAGTCGACAAATTATATAATTGAAATGTCATATTAATTCTTGATAAGGAAAGATTTGCACAATAAGCAATAGAACCCTACTTCCCTCGTGGACTCCTCGTGTTTTTTTATAATTTGTTCACATATTTAGGTGCAAATTCTGTGTTACTAGACATACAGCTTCACGTGTGACCAGTTGTTTTCAATCCTCACTTTCAGGAACTTAATACAAGGCTCAAGCAATAATGTTGATGTTTGTATGATTTTTTTTTTCTTTCTAATTTTATGCTTTTTATAATAAATAATGAAGGAAATATATATTATTTAGATAGTAAAATATCAAAATCTTTGAACTTGTTTCGAGCCATGAATGACTAGTAAGCAAAAAAAAAAAAAAAAAAAGAACCCGTTAATTCTAGAAAAGGGATCACAATTAAGAGCATATCAAGCTAGGAATAATAGTTGATGCACTCTCTCTCCCTCCCCCCACCCCACCCCCAATATTGTACACTTTATAAAGTGTTACATACACTATAGTGGTGTAAATTGCACATTTCGTCTCGTGATATTCTCGTAGCCCTTGTTTGGTGAAAATGAAAATCAAAATTTTAGTGAAATTTGATAGAATCGGATGAAATGTGTGGTTAAAAAGTTGTGGATCCCATGAAATGTGTGGTTAAAAGTAGTTGTCGACATTGACTTGTATTAAAATCTTTGATTTTTATTTTCACCAAAGAGGGGCTTAATTATGTTTGATCATATCCTGTAAATTCTGTCACTATTTTTCAAAATCCTATCTTGGTATTTTGTCAAATGAAAAGAAAAGCTAGAATTTCTAGGCACTAGGTACAATAATCATCTCCTACCTTGGCTTAATTCCAAAATCGACTGGGGTCATAGGAAGGATAAAAAATGACTTTTTTCGGGTTAAAGGACAACTTAATGAAAGAAGATATCGGAACATGTGTGGTTAATCTTAAAAGCAAAAATAAACTTATTTTTTTATTTCTAATCATGTTTTTGTCTGTTTGATTGTAAATGTGGAAAATAGGTGGAAAGAAAATATTTTACTGGAAATTGAATTGTCTAGAAATTGTTTTACTAAGAATTATAATTAATTGTGTTTGATTTGTATAATTTTCCGCCTGAAAAATGTTGAAAGTTTGACTTCATTTTTTATGAAAATTGTCTACTAAAGTAATAATTTTTTTTCTACCATTACGTCTAAAATTTATTCCAATTGCCAAAAAATTACCATACTTAATACCATTCGTTTAGTTTTGTTTTGCATGAAAATTGTCAATAAAAGTGAATTTTTTTTAGCATTGTGTCTAGAATTTTTT